GTTACCTCAGGATCCAGGAGAACTGAGTTCTCCTGCAAAGACAGTGCCATGTGTACCCAGACCTCGGAGTTGCACAAACCTCAAACTTGCCCGGGTTCTGCTCCAGGAGTTCCTTGCTATTAGACAGGTACTGCCAGGCCTTGGCTCTGAGAGAAGAGGGGATCCCTTTCCGGCAGCGCAGTTTTACCTAAGGCAGAGTAGCATCAGGGATGACAGCTTCAGGGCTGGAACATTCTCCAAGCTTTCCCCACTAGCCATCAGGCTCCCAGAGACATTCCTCCCACGTGCCAGCTATGACAAAGCTGGACCTGGCCTGGCTACAGTTTAAAGCTCCTCCTAAGGCTCAGCACCACTGATCTTCAATGTGTTAGGAGGGCAGATATTATTAGTTTCCTGGGCTTTCCATCAGCATTGCCCCTCCCCCACCCTTGCACAGTGTCCAACCCACCACACAGCCCTCAAACCTTCTGGAAACGCCGTGACAGCCACTTATCCCAGTTATTGAACATTTCCAGCCATTTGAGCTCCCGCTGCCGAGCCACATCCACAGGAATAGAGCTCTCTCTGCAGAGTCAGGGTAAGTATGGAAGACGTCAGTGGGCTGCTGGGGAAACTGAGCCAGCCAGCTGCCTCAGGCTCAACTGAGAAACTAGAAACTGTGCCATCCAGATGTCTGAATAGTTGGCCATCCAAAGCCTTGTCCACCACACTTTAAGGGCTTCCTTCTCTACTAGATCTTTACACACAGAATTTAAATCCCATTTCTGACACATCCAATTTTGGTGATACTGAAGATACATTCTGGCTAGTGACGCAGTTCAGTAGTACTGTGCTTATCTTGCATGTCAAAGGCCCTAAATTCAGTCCTAGCATTGCAAAAATAATGGTATTTAAACTTAAGCCACATTTTTGTATTAAATCTGGATCTAAGTTCTAGTTTTACCATTTATTCATTGTGTGACCTTGAGAAAGTCACTTAATTTTCCTAAGCCTCAATTTCCTCATTTGTAAGGTAGAGAAAATAACAATATCTACCTGAAAGGACCTGTAAGGTGCTATAGCAGGGGGCTCAGTCAGTATTCGTAATGACCTTACGAGATTTCTTAGACCATCCCTGACTTCCACTCCTCTTTACAATCTCCCCAGATTCCCAAGCAAATGTACTGTTCTGTCAGCTCCATGTTCAAGGTGCCCCCATCTGTCTGGCAATGGTTGGCTACTTACAAGAACCAGTTCCAGGAGAATGAAATGGAAGTGCAAGAACAGATTTTAGAAATTCCACAGACTAAGTCAAAACCCATGTCTCTTAGAGCTGGAAGCCCTGATGTGTGTAACCTGGGGGTCGTCCTCAGCTATAAGCGGGATGCCACTATCTACAGTTATGAGAACTAATAAGAAAAATGCAAAGTTAGGCGTTGGTGGTGCAGGTCTTTTAATCCCAGCACTTGGGAGACAGAGGCAGGTGGGGTCTCTGTGAGTTCGAAGCCAGCCTGGTCTACAAAGAGTTTCAGGACAGCCAGAGCTGTTACACAGAGAAACCCTGTCTCGAAAAACAAAACAACAAAAAAAGAGCATAAAAAGACTATTAAATAGGAGCTTCTTGTATATTGATTTATTTTGAGCTAGATGCTCCCTAAACAGAGACGCCCTAAATTAGTTCCACTCTCAGAGATGGGAAGATGAAGGTGCCTTCCTGCCCTTAGGAACACTGCAGCTTACAAACGGAGAAAGGGCTGGAGAGATGGCTCAGCTCTAAGAAACTGGATGTTCTTGCAGAGAACCAGGTCCAGTTCCCAGCACCGACATGGCAGCTAAGGAAGGTCTGCAAAAAACGTAGTTCAGAGGACCTGAAGCTCTGTGTCTCCCGGGCACTACAAGCACATGATGCACGCCGTGTGCAGACATGCATGCAGGTGAAACACTGCATACATAAACACTGATCAAACCAAAGCAGAAAGGGGAGCCATGTCCACTCTGACACAAGAAATGCAATGATAAAAACTCACACAAGCATTAGTATTATGAGCACAGCAGGTATCAGGGGAAGGCTTCCTGGAGGAAAGGCCATCAGAAGTGTACCAGAAGGAGCGAAGAAAAAGGAGGAGGAGAAAGAGAAGGGGAAGAAGGGCGTCCCTGGCAGGTGGAGAGGCCTGAATAATCCACTACTAATTTAGTACAGAGCCTGGCAGATTGGCGCTGAGACCAAAGTGGCTGGCATGGCTGGGCAGTACGGTGCCAGTGTGAAGGCTGAAGAGTGTGGACTTTACCCTGTAAGAGAAAGTGTTCATTCTAATGTATTACAATCAGCCTTGCCACAGAGGTAATTCCTCTGGCATGGAAGACAGACTCTAAAGTGACAAAGTTACAAAAAGAGAAATAGCACCCAGCACAGTGCCTGACATAGGAGCAATATTCTAAAACTGAATTTGACCCAAGTTCCTCTGACTAGTACTGAGCAATGTCCACTACTCACACAGATCCACGCTATTTGAGGGAGGCAACTCAGTGTGCTAGTTTTGTTTCTTATGAGCTGAAAAGAGTGCAGAAGAAAGGATCAGCATCAAACTTCAGTCAGAGTTCCAACTGTGCCCAATCAAATTTTCTGAGTTTGCTTAGCTTATAAGCCCTGCCTAGATTACTCCCAGCCATCTTCCTGACTGACAGGCTCCTCAGCAGAAGTCTCACATCCAGGTGCTCACAAAACCCTCTGGTCTCTAGGCTTAACCCAAGCAACTGTACTGAAACCAACAGTTTAGGCATTCCCTCCAGATGAACGCCCCTCCAGATGAACGCCTTCAAAGTACTACTGGAGTCTGCTCAGCACAGGCCTGGCTCCAGCGTCCCCAGGCGATGCTCTGGGCTGAGCTAACCAGGTTACTGACCAGCAGCAGGTTAAAGGAGCACAGAAACAATGGTAGGATCCAGAGAGGGGGAAGGAAGAAGGCAGAGCGATCACACCCCCACCTTAGGAGTGACTCAGGCCCCTCCCTGGAAGGAACTAGGAAAGCTCGACTAGGGCAGGGGAGATGAGGAAATGGGGAAGAGGCCACCCCCACCCCTTGCCTTCAGTGAAAAGACAAGCCTGCCCTGTCCCAGGAGCCCTGCCTTCAGGGCCTCCCCTCCATCAACCAGACTTCCTCACCCCACCATTCTGCCCGCTGCTTTTCTGAAGGCGCCTGCATCCTTCCTGCCCTCAGGGACCCAAGATCTCTACAGAACCCTGGTCCAACCAAACTTCCAGAGTATCTGACCTTTTAGTAATGGTTTCATACCAAGCAGCGAGTAGCTTCGCTGCTTAGCAGGTATCATCTCGCTCAACCCTTCAGTTCACAGGGGAAACCGAGGCACAGAGACAGGGGCGCCACTAGCTCAAGGACACTGGCCTAGGCAAGGTCTAGAATTAAACCCACATAGGTGATTGTCTTCATCCCGGACTCTGAAGCCACAGACACACCAGGATGCTCTGGGCTCCTGCTAATGACTCCCTGGGGCGGGCCTGGCCAGGGGCATCACTTCCCTTCCCCCCACCCCAGTTTCCACAGGCAGCCCCACGGAGTGCCCACCGTGTACTCACAGGCTGCCCGAGTACTGGCTGCCCCCAAGGAAACCATACTTGTCCGTCTTGCGCAGGGCCAGCCCATTTATCTCCGAGTCTGAACCCATGGAGCTCACATCATCCGCCAAGGACTCCAAGGTCCCGGACATGAGGCTCACGGAATCCAAGTAGCTCAGGGAGTCCGGGGCCTGCCCTCGAGGCCCAGGGATGCCAGGTCCGAGGCTGGACGTGGAGCCCAGGTCTTGAAAGTTTTCAACAGGCTCCGGAGCTGGGGTCACCGTCACCACAGCCACCGGAGCCTCACCCGTCCCGGGAGGGCCTGGGACAGGCCCCGAGGGGTCCTCGGGCGCCGGCCCTGCGGATGCTGATGTAGCAGCCCCATGTCCACCTGTCACCTGTCCAGCTCCACCCGGTGCAATCACTCCTGAAGCCACTGTGGTTCCCGGCTTGGGGGCAAGCGGGGGTTTGGCAGTCAGGGCTCCAGGCGCCGTTCTGGAAGGGGTCCGAGTTGGGGTCCCTGGTCCTGGGACGGGCGAGGCTCGAGCCTCTTCCGTCTTCGGAGCGTCTGCTCCCGAAGCCAAGGCCACCGAGGTCTCCGCTCCCGCCTCTGTCGCCGGTGCAGGGGATTCTTGCGTCTTCGCGGCTTCGGGTGAGGCCTCTAGGGTCAGCACCACCAGCGTGCTGCCCGTGGCCGTCGTGGCCGTCGTGGCCGTCGTGGCCGTGGTCTGTGCCGACCCTGGAAGCCAGGCGGGCTGAGCCTCCCCGGGGACCACCAGGTCGACGGGAGCAGAAGTGGCCGTAGTCACTGGCGGTCCCGGTGCCACCACTAGTACCGGCCCGGCCCGGGAGCCCCGGGGCGGAGGCGAAGGGGCAGCGGAGGCGCCGTGACGGCGCGGCGGGGCCACCAGGGGCGCCGGGCCCGTCTCCATAGCCGTGGGCCGCCCCTCACATCCCCCCCGCCGCGGAGGCCGCAGAAGGCGCCGCCCCTCAGGCCGCCCGGAGCAGCCCGCCCGGGCTGCAGAGAGGGCGAAGGGCGCGGCTCGGCGCGCGCCGGGGGCGGGGCGGGACCGGGCGGCAGGCGGCAGGCGGCGCGCGCAGGCGGGGCAGGGGTCGGGGGCGCTCGCGCCGGGGTCTCCCGGCCTCTCACCCTGCTCGCGCGCTCGCGCCGCCCCCTCCCAGCGAGGGGCCGGCTGCCGACGACGCGCCTGCGCAGACGCCGAGGCGCCGCCAGAGTCTCGCCAGACTACGCCTGCGCGAGGGAAGGCCCTCTTGCGCCCCCCCTTTTTTTTCTTTTCTCCCGCCCCCTCCAGAGGACCTGGACAGATAATAGGAGAGAGAAAACTGGGTTCCTGCCAATCGCTGGGAGGGAGGGTGGGGTTGGAGGCGGGAAGAGGGTGGGTAGTCTAGAAAGAGGAAATGAAGAAGGCGGAGGCAGGACGAAGAAAATAGGCAATAGGAAAAAGGGACCCTGGGCCTCCTGGCCAATGAACACTGCTGAAGTGTGAGTGATCGCGGAAGGGCGGGGAATGAGGCTGGGGCTGGGCAGTAAGAGGTAGGGCCTAGGACCTCTTAGCCAATAGAAACGGAGAAAAGGGAACCAATGAAAAAAGAGCCGGGCGGTCAACTTGACCTACGGCCATGTCTATTCATGTACTGACAGCGTCAACAGTCAATAGGAAGGGCTGAAGAATTCTTCGACTTCCTGAGATGGTCAGGAAGGAATGACACCTAGAGAGAGGCGGGCTGAACTTGTGCTTAACTTATCAGCCAATGACTGTCTTTCTTCATTTTGCAGAAGGCTAGGAAGATCAGCAAATGGTAGCTTCGAGGGGCAGGGTGCTGCCAGCAGGCGGTGCCAGAGCAAGAATAGTCAGTGACAACCAGAGACAAGCGCGAGAGGAGGTGACAGCTGGAGACATCTCTGAGAAGGAGCCTGGAGCATCCTCGCTGCGGCTCCTAGCCAATAAGAGTTCCGTGCTGGTCTTCTTGGGTTTCCAAAAGGGCCTCCATTCATTCAGCTCCTGAGTGCACCACAAACCTAGTGTCCTCATCCAGCACTCCCCACCGTGATGCCTCTAATTAGACTATAGTCAGCATCTTCTAAAAGGCTCGTTTCTCTGAATTCCCTACTTCAGGCAGGAATCCCGGACCAGGTTTCTCTAAGTTCTCATACATAAATTGGGCTTCTCCCCCGAACGCTGCGATTTCTCAAACCTTATCCCTCTGAATGCTGATTCTGAGGCGGGAAGGGAGGGATGTTTCCATATCAGAACCCAAATCTGTGAATCCTCAGTACCTTGAACCCTCCATATCTATATTCCTGTTCTTTGGAGGATTCAAGAACCAAGCCCTGTCATTATCACATCACTTTAGAACTCAGTGCCTACTAACCTAGACTCCAATTTCATGAGCCCTCAAGGTTGCCCTCAGACCAAAATCATAAAGATCAGACCTTATGAGCACTGACCTTCTAGCTTCTACACACCGCTTCCTCTGGCCTCTGTTCTCTTGAGCCCCCAAATGAACACAGCATCTACACTCTGAAATTCTAGTGAACCCTACTCTCCACTTCCCAGTTCTCCACTAGCTTTTGAGTTGTGAGGCTCCCCAGTCTTTTTGGCTCACTCCCCTACTCCCAACTCAGGCCCAGACCCTGGAATGACCTATCGGGTCTTTTTCTCCACTTCTCCATCTTCCACCTGATTCAAGTTTACTGAGCATGCCCCCAGGCCCATTCCCTTTTTAGAGTCTTTCTCACCTCCCGGAACCCACTAATGAGTGGGCTCCTCCATGACGTAGACCCCCACGGTACCCATATAAGGCAAAACAGCTGCCAACTAAAGCGGGGGGGGGGGGGCTGTGCAGGAGGCTAAGGGCAGCTGCTAAGTTTAGGGTGGCTCCTTCTCTCTTCTTAGAGACAACAGGTGGCTGGGCCCCAGTGCCCAGAAAAGAAAATGTCTTAGTGGCATTGGCATGGACTGGAGGAGGGAAGGGAGGAGACACATTCCTCAGGACATCAGGTCCTAAAGGGAGCAGGAGATGGGTGTCACTGCCAACCTGGGGTTTCCTCTGCTGCTGTCGCCCCAGACCTCCATTGCATGGAGAATGTGGCACTGAGACCCAGAACTTTATGAGAAGGGACCTCAAAGTCACAAAGTCAGCCAAACTAGTTCTTTCCCAGGAAGGAGAAGTCGCTGGCTGTGCTACCTAGGGAGAAGGTGACAGCTAGCACTTCCCTCTTGGGGCCTTTGTCACTTCTCTTCTGAGGTCCAGCCTCGATTCTTCAACCCTTTCCAAGTTCACCAGCATCTCTGCTTGCCATTGAACACCCCGCAGTATCTGGTGGCCAACCCTGAACATCTAGCCCCATCACAATTCTGGCGAACCTAACAGCTGACCTTTCACTGTCCCGACCTTTGCCCACGTGCTGTGCCTTCTTTCTTGCATGTCTGACCATCAGCCCTCACCTGAATCACTTTCTTAGCTTTCCGCTGAGTTCTGTTACTGACATCACTTGCTTACTTACTAAAGCAAACCCACAAGGTCAAGTACATTGTAGGTCTGCATTAAATGCTTACTGAGTTTGGATCTGAGCCACCCCACTTAGGGGCCCAAGGTCTGGTTCTTTTCCCCTAGAACTATGGATTGGTGGGGCCTCTCTGATTTCTGGCACAATCCAGTCCCTTTGGGGAGAAAGAACATCTCTTCCTGTCTATCCTAATGAGACTTACATCCCAAGACTTACTCCCTCCTCCCTTTCTGGGCTCCAGCTGCTGCAGGCCTCCAAGAAAGGAGAGGCCCCTGAGCCGGGCTATTTTAGTATCTGGGGTGGGTATCCACAGGGCTAAGGTTACCATGGTATGTTAAGGGCTGTGGGGACAGGACTATATAACCCCAGAAGAGCTGCCCCAAGCAGATCCTCTGCCTTTTCCAGCAGGAGCCACTGCCTTGCCCCCAGGAGATCTAAGATATGGTGAGTGTGGATCCCCAGCCACAGTCCAAAGCCACTAACTCAGGGTAGCCTCACCCTTCAAAAAGAAAAACAAGTTGGTGTTTCTCAGTCCAACTACAGGTGAGGTATGGATGGTCTCTCAGCACCAGAGTGGAGCAGAGGGTGCAGGGGCTGAAGGACTCAGTCAAGGACAGCATGCTTGGATGGTCACCCATGGGGAGTGGGGGGGTCAGAGCCGCTCAAAGTCTGCTCCATCCTTTCTGTGCTCATCTCTAAAGTCCTCGGGCCAGTGAGATGATCCCACTCCCATCTGATAAGTGAGAAGTAGAGGTTCAGATAGGGACAGGGAATAGATTAAGCTAGCAGGTATGAGCGCCAAGTTAGCAGGCCCAGAGTCCTGAGAAGGGTGCTTGTTGGACAGGATGAAGGGACCCGGGAGCTATAGCTGGCATGTAAGAGATACAGCCAAAATGAGCCCTCTTAGCCAAGATACAGCCAAAACGAGCCCTCTTAGCCAAGATGCACCAAAAAAGAGAAAGAGAGTTTAGAAAAAAGGACTCAAAGAACTCTGAATCTGATCAGGCATGGTGGTATATGGCCATAATTCCAGCTGTTTCCAAGGCTGAGGGAGTAGAATCACTGGGGTCCAGGAGTTCTAGACCAGCCTGAGCAACATAAGGAGACCTGGGCTCAAAAGAAAAAAGAAAGACTGAGAAGGAGGAGCTGGGGGTGGTAATGAATGTCTTTAATCCCAGGACTCAGGAGAGTTAGATGCCTCTCTGCGAGGTCAGGAGAGTCAAGGTCTACACAATGAGCTCCGGGGCTAAGTAGTGAGACCAATGTCTTTTTTTTTTTTTTTCTTTGTGGTTTTATCTGCCTGCCTCTGCCTCTGTTGGGATTAGCCCGCACCTGACATAAGAAAAAGAGGGGGTGGGAATGTAACTCAGTAACTGGTAGTGCTTGACTGGCAACCGAATAAAATCAGACGTGGCCGCCTAGGATGCTGCGCTTGGAGGTCGAGACGGAGGCAAGCAAACAGAAGGGTCAGGTCATCCTCAGCCAAGTAGCAAGTCTAGGGGCTACCGCATGAGACCCAGCCTTTAACGACAACAGAAGTCTGGTCTACCTCCCAGGAGGGAGGTACAGGAACTGCTGGCCATCGCTCCTTCTCAACCTCTACCCTCACAGGCACCCAAGAAGGCCAAGAGAAGGGCAGCAGCAGAAGGGAGCTCCAATGTCTTCTCCATGTTCGACCAGACTCAGATCCAGGAGTTCAAGGAGGTGAGCAAGGGAAGCTAAGGAAAGTCCCCCATCCCCCACCCCCGAAAGTGCACCTGTTGAGGGGAGGTTTAGAATTCCTCCCCTCCTTGTGAAGGGTGGAGGGGGGGTCAGCTGGCCGAGAGCCAAAATCTGATCTGCCTGGGGCAGCACTGCTGAAGCCTCGGGCCCATTCCTGGCTTCACCTGTCTCCACCCCTACCCTCCACAGGCTTTTACTGTAATTGACCAGAACCGAGATGGCATTATCGACAAGGAGGATCTCCGGGACACCTTTGCAGCCATGGGTGAGCCCCCTACTCCCGCCCATAGACCGTGAAAGCTATGGAAGCTGAGGGGACTCCAGTGGCTTCTGGTCCCCAGCACCCCGCTCCAATCCCTGCTGCTCACCCCGTTCAGGCCGTCTCAATGTGAAGAATGAGGAACTCGACGCCATGATGAAGGAAGCCAGTGGGCCCATCAACTTCACCGTCTTCCTGACCATGTTTGGGGAGAAGCTGAAGGGTTAGTGAAATGTCCTCGGTTCGAGACCCTAGTTCCATCTTCCCAGACCTTCAGGGGCTCGCTGAACTCATGTGTCCTCTGACCCTTCAGGTGCGGACCCTGAGGATGTAATCACCGGAGCCTTCAAGGTCCTGGACCCAGAGGGCAAGGGCACCATCAAAAAGCAGTTGTGAGTGGCCCCCTTCAGTAGCTCCCTAGGTTCCTATGTCAGAGCTCGGGGTTGGCGGAACGAGAGAGCAGCAAGGACTGGGTGACTGGGTTGCATTTTCACAGCAACTGAGGAGAGAAACTTGAGATGGGAGGTCACAGCATTTGGGAGAGAGCCAGACTAACAAGAGCCACCCTGGTTTCAGCGAAGAATGGGGTAACAGGAAGGAAATGAGAGGGGACAGGATTTATAAACCCAATCTCACCTCCCAAATGTCACCTTCTCAGCCTGGAGGAGTTGCTCACCACACAGTGTGACAGATTTTCCCAGGAGGAGGTGAGTTGGGGAGGGCCTGGGAAGAGGGAGGACTCGGGCAGTGGGAGTTCGAGGACCACTCCTAAACTTACTCCTACACCTTCCCACAGATCAAGAACATGTGGGCAGCTTTCCCTCCAGATGTGGGCGGCAACGTAGACTACAAGAACATCTGCTATGTCATCACACACGGTGACGCTAAGGACCAGGAATAGGGGACCCAAGGTCTCAGAAGACCTACATAGGCATCTAGCCTCCCCAACTCTCACCCGACCCCCAATAAAACTCAACTGGTCTTTGTTTCTTATTGGTGGCAACTTCAGTTTGTTTAAGCGCGAACTCAGGCGGGAGGTTGAAGCACCGCCCAGCAAGACAGGAGTGGCTAACAATGGACTAACTAGAAGCCAGAAGGCCCGCAGCGGGCAGCCCCATTCCTGCTGGGAAGAAGACGACTCAGGCAGCTCGGGGTGGGGTGGGGTAAGCAGTTTTTATTAGACGGAGAACTTAGAGAAACCTAAGTGGAACCGGCCAGCAGGAGTCGGAGGGCGGCTCAGAACAGCGCGGAGGGCGGAGTTGGGCGGGGCTACAAACTTCCGGATTGGAGGGACCTGTTTCAAGTGCAAGGGCGGGCCTATCCTCTAGGTCTCTGGATTGGACGCTGGGCAGTCTAGAGCCCGACGGGACCGGAGATTGGCGGTGAGCAGTTGCTAGGCTGGGCGGCGGTGAGGATCTCACAGCGAGTCTGACTGCTCGCCCTGAGCCTGGCTCTGCTGCATCTGAGCTTGCATCTTCTCCAGCATTTCTTGCATGCGGCGCAGCTGTGCGGAGCAAGATTACAAGCAGTGGGACCGGGCAAGACCGGAATGGGATCTAGGTAGCTGATTAGAGGGAAAGAGATGTGTTTGCTCACCTCTTCGTCTTTCTCGCGAATCAACTTCTCAGTGTCGGCTAGAGGCAGTATGGGCAGTGGGATCTCCGTGGCACTCTGCCGGGAAAGCTTGCTAGAAATGGGGTGGGGGGCAGAAAACAGGAACCAGATCTGAAGTTGTGGGGGCGAATTCTGGGTGTAGGAGGCGGGGCCTCGTCCCTGAGGTTAGGGACGGAGTGGGAGAGGCTTAATTGGACCTAGGAGGCGGGGTTACACCTGGTAGCAGGACCAGTCAGGAAGGCTTACCCAAAGGGTGGCACCATGGGAGCGCTAAAGTGGCCCGGCTCTCACCTGCGGCTGGTTCGGTCCCGGGCCCCAGGTCGAGCCAGACTCTGTAGGCAGCGAGCCCGATAGCCCTCGTAGAGCAGATCGTGGGTCACCTCTTTCAAGTCCTGAAGGTGGGTCTGTACCAGCATCCGCCTCAGGTTTAGGAAATCGCAGTGATGTGGGTTCTCCACTAGAGGGCGGACCAGGTAGCTATCCGTCAAACTCCACCCTTAGGATCTTCCCTCTGGGAGGACCCCCTCTTGTGGCTTCTAGAAACTCAGGACTAGAGCCCACCTCCTGTTTCACACACGCACGCAGACTAAGCTCCCTGCTGCTCTCAGCGCAAGCAAGCCTGGCCTTACCTTCCACGGTACCCCAGGAGTAGCGGCGTCCCCTCACTGGTCGGGTTCCGCCATCCCTCACCACTTCACAGGAACCAACCACCGCGAAAGGGATGCTTCCCTAGAGGGAAAAAAGTCAGGAGTCACGTTGGCTCCTCCTGGGTATAGACCTGTTTCTCAAAGCTTCTCCACTTCTTTCTGCTTTCTGTTTCTCTGTCCCTCCACGTCCTCCAGTCAAACCTTCATCTCTTCGTTCTGCTTCTTGAATTCTTCATCCTCATCAGAGTCACATTCTGGGAACTGGTAGATGTTGATCTCCTCCTCCTTCAACTGGTCCCGGATCTCAGGGCGGACAGAGGGGGAAACTGAGGTGTGACCAACCGACATTGCATGGCCAGAGACAGTGAGGTACAGAGATACTGGGCAGTCAGAGAGAAAGAAAGACGTGAAGAACGAATGGTGGGGTTGGCCCCACAAGGTGACCAAAACCAAACCCCCAGACACAGGGTAGTGAGAAATTCAGAAAGACAGGACAGACATCAAAAACCCGGAAGTGGGACAGGGGAAAGCACTGTTAAGACAGCGGGGCGGGAATAGTTACTACCACAGGACCAAAGAGCTGCCAGGAGTTGTGAGCATCCCCTTTCCCTCAGCCAGGTCCTAGCCAAGCATCTAGTTCCAGGGCTGTATAGTCATTCTGTTCAGAGCTGTTAGGGACATGGCTGCTTGGAGCAGGTGCATACACCCTTTCCTTATACCCCCTCCCCAAGTCTAGCCTAGTAACTCCTGCTTTGAAAGGCCACCCCAAGGTCAAAAAAGTCAGCAGAGGTGAGGTTCAGACACTGCTTTGTTTTCACTTGGTGCTAAAGGTCAGGCCCCACCCATACCTTCTGCTTGAGAACCTGAGTTTCCCTAGGCATCAGGGCATCTGCTTTGCCGATGACTGGGATAACATTGACCTTCTCGTGCACGGCCCGGAGGAAAGCCACATCTAGGGGGCGGAGCCTGCAGCAGGGATTGACTGGTGTTCAGTTCCACAGTGCAGAGGCTTCTGCAGCCTCCCCAACCCCCAGGGTGCCCTCCAGACCCTCTGCCGAAGGGTGAGATGAAGTAGAGGCAGCAGTGGACTCTGGAGTCCTGGATGTTTTTCCTGTTGAGGCCGCTCTCGTCCCTGAGGTATTGCTCAAACTGCTCCTCAATGAATCGGACCACGGGCAGCCAGCTGGAGTGTGGGGAGAAGGGGTAGCATCTAAGACCACAGGGCAGGGAACAGAACAAAGCTAACCAGGTCTGTGGGGCGGGAAGTAATTTCTTTGCTTCCAACCGAAGCCATCGGGCAACTGGCAGGAGCAGGGTTGAGACATCAAGAAGGGAGGTGGCTCCACACCTGTAATCCCAGCACTCAGGAAGCTGAGGCAGGAGAATTGCCACATTTGGGACCAACATGGCCTACATAGTGAGTTCCAGGCCAGCCTGGGCTAATGTGACACCTTCCCAAAAAAGCAAAAACAAGCAACTGGAAAGAAAAAAAAAAGAGCACTGAACCAGCCATGGCCTAAGTCTGTAATCCTGGAAAGAGGACTTTGAGTTTGAGTTTGGGCCACATAGTAAATTTGAAGCCCCTGAGCCACATAGAGAAACCTTTCCTCAAAAGAGAAACACTGGACTTTTTGGGCCAGATTGTTTCCAGAAACAGATGCGTCCTTTTAGGTCAAGGACCCCTGACAAACCAGCCCACAACTGACCCGTAGCGGAAGAGAAGAGAAGCTTAGCTCTTCTCCGTTCCCCACCTCACCAGTCTGAGCAGTCCACAGAGTCCCCAAAGCCTGGCGTGTCCACCAAGGTCAGCTTCACCTTGATGCCTCCCTCCTCGATCTCCACGCCCCGGCGCTCGATGGTCAGAGTTTGTGTGGTTCGTGCTGGGGGTGCGGAGAAATTGGCTGCATAAGCTCTAAAGCAGGACTCGGTACCTAGCTCTGCAGCTGCACCCCCGCCCCCATCCCTAATGTGTATTTCAGGGGAGGAAACAGTCTCAGAGAAAACCCGTCCCCAGACAGACAGAAAAAGATGCAGTCTGATGAGGCAGGAAGAGCCAGGGACACCACCGATAGAAGACCAGGACAGCAGCTGGGTGGGGAAGCCCATAGGGGTGGGGTGGGGGCGCAGATCTTACCACTGGCATCGGGCACCTGCCGATCTTCGTAGAGGTTGGTGAGGAACAAGCTGTTGATGAGGGTGGATTTCCCGAGGCCTGACTCGCCTGTGAACACGACAAACGTACTAGTCAGATGGGAGGGCGGCCAGGATCTCCGGAGTACATCACTACCCCCGGGTCTCTCTCCAGAACCCACAGACCTGCCACCATGAGTGTGAAGTCAAACCCCTTCTTGACAGACTTGCGGTGCAGCTGGTTGGGGAGGGCAGCAAAACCCACATATTCCTTGTCCTGTGGGGGTAAAGGAAGACGAGATGAGACTGATGGACACGGCAAGAAGTGCCCCGTATCACCTGAGCCCCAAAGCTAGGAAGCCGGCTTGCTGTGGTTCACTTTGATTTGGGGATCCCCATGAGAGAGGACTGAGCCCCAGACGTCTAGATTCCTGGACCCAAGAACTCACCATGGCTCTGTTGGTTGTAGCTGCACCTGGTATTGCTCCCCACTTCCTCTGGTGGGGCAGGAAGTTCAATATATCAAACAAGGCTGGGGGTGGGGTGGGGGGCAGTGCAGGAAGCTGAGCTGCTCAAAGAGAGGTGAGAAACCCATGCTGCATTCGCTTTCTTTTCATTCAAAGATTTTATTTTTAATTACTTGGGGAGTGGAGGCCAGAGCAAGGCATTGAATCCCAGGACCTGGAGTCACAGGTAGCTGTGATATGCCTACGGTAGAAAATAGAAACTGAAGTCAGGTCCTCTGCAAGAGCAGTACGTGCTCTCAGTGGCTGAGCCGCCTCTACAGTCCCAAGCATCTTTTCTCTTATCTCTGTATAGAAGCCCTTTCATTTTCCATGTCTTTATGCCAAGCCCCAAAGCGGCCCCATCGTCATGGTGAGAGGCAGATGGAACATGAGCAGAAAGGAAGGAAGCAAGATGTTCTCCTTAGCAAGTCTGGTAAGGGATTGACAAGATGACTTAAAAAAAATCCCCAGGGTGTGCAAACAACAAAAAAAGATAATAGGGTTGGGGTAGGAGGGTCCAACAGTTTCCCAGGCCAGGCAATGGAGTCCTTCTGAGGGGTGGTAGTGCTGGACTGGACTTGGGTATTGCCAGGCTGAATTCCCACTACACTCCAGTTCCCTAGAGTTGGGATGTCTTGAGACAGAGTCTTGCCATCTACCCAGGCTGGCCTCGAATTTTCATGCCACCCTTGACATCCTACGTGCAAGGATTCCAGGCTGGTGCCACTATTACCTCGATTGCGGTTCTTTTGTTTCCGAGACCGGGTCTCCTGTAGACCAGGCTAGCCTCAAACTCACTTTGTGGTAGTCTAAGATGACCTTCAGCTCTTGAGCTGCCTGGCCTCTGGGTCCCTCATGCTGGGGATTACAGGTGTGTAGTACCACACCTGGCATCTTGTCACAACTATCAGAAACCCAGAACTTACGCTGTAGACCACCTGTCTCTGCCTCCCGAGTGCTGGGATTAAAGGTGTGCGCCTGGCCCTGGCGTGGGTGGGATTCGTATTCAAGTCACCACACCAGGCGGGCACCCACCGACTACTGACCTCAGGACCAGCCCTAACAGTTGAACGATCATTCAGTGAAATCTCACCCAGATGTTTCTATTTTAACTACCCAGTACCTTCCTCAGGCCCCCAGTGCCCACATTAGCTTAGCTGTCTGTCTGATGCCCTGGCTGAACGCTGGGGATGGGACTACTTCTTTTGAATTTTTACATTCACATTCTACAGGCTTCACAACACTTGATTTGTTAGGTGCACGTGCAAATGCATGTGCACACGCACACACACACACACACACACACACACACACACACACAAAGAGTAAATGAAACTGGAGAGGTGGCCCAGGGATTAAGAGCATTGGTTACTCTTTGATAGGACCAGGGTTCAATTCCCAGCACCCACATGGTTCACAGCTGTCTGTAACTCCTGTTCGAGAGGATCTGATACCCTCACACAGACATCCTTGCAGGCAAAACACCAATGTACATAAAATAAAAATAAATCTTACAAACGAGTAGATGAAGTTAGGCAGAATTAAGGTCAGAAGTCCGTAAACATAAACAAAGATCCTTGCTTTAGGGTCAGAAAGAAGACCCAGGAAATCTAGATTTGCCACAGACTCGCTGTGAGGCCTCAGGCAAGACATTTGACCTCTCTAATTCTAGCTCCTCAGGGTAGAATGGAGTGCACCCACATCAGCGTGTTGTCAGGACCGCTCTGGGTTTCCCATGACCTGGGCTTTAGATCTGTTCTGAGAACAAACTGCGCACGTTTGAACTGGGTGACTTTGGGCATGTAAATGAACTCCTCTGGACCCTTCAAACTCTTAGGGTCTACACGATCTGGACTCTGTTCACTCTCCACTTTAACCCTAGTCTAGGGTCTCCCTCTGTAGCCCAAGATGGCCTAGAACCTTCTGTCCTCTTGTCTCAACCTCCCCATGCTGGGACTACACTGTCCACTCTAGCCTGGCTTCTCTCTTTTGACTTTACTTATTCTGTTCCTTTAGCCTCTGCTATGGACTGAACTTTATGATTCTGCTCCCCTCCCCCATTTAAGCATTGAAGCCCTGTGTTACCATATCTGCACATAGAGCCTGGAAGGAGGTCATTAAGTGTGGCTTAATCCTCCTTATAAGAGGAAAAAATCCAGTCCTCCTGCCTCCTGTACAGAGAAAAGGCACAGTAAGGATACATCAGGAAGGGGACCGAGGAGTGGGCCTTACTGTTGTTTTTCATTACATACCATGGCTGCTCCTTAAGCAACTCCTGTACTAATCAGGAAGAGCAAATCCACAACTATCAGCAGAGGTTCAGTTACTCTAAAGGCAGCCAGGCCGGAATTCTGTTCCCTCAGGCACTGGCTCTTTCAGGACCAAAGGAAACATCTAGATCTCTATCCCTATCCTCTGCTGAACTCAGGATTCAATGGTTGAGGTGAAATTCTCTCGCGCAGAGTGGTTAAATAGCAAGTAGCTAACCTTCTCTTCTTGTAGGCATCTCCTGAAAAACATCTCCCTCCTAAGAACCCTCACTACACCTAGTTCCTCCCCACCACTTCCTGTCAGCTTGTTGCTGTGGTGATATTTTGTTTGTGCTTTAACAAATAAAGCTTGCCCGAAGATCAAAGTGAGGAACCACACACTAGTTAGCCTTAGAGGCCAGACAGTGGTTAGTGGTGCAGACCTTTAATACTAGCACTCAAGAGACAAGTCAGATGCAGGTGGATCTCTGTGAGTTCAAGGCCACCCTGGACTGTGCAAGACTGATCCAGTCTGTCTAAAAAAGAAGAGTCAGGCGGTGTGGACAGGAAGGGATGTGGCTCCAGGCATTCATTCTGAGGATTCGTAAAGACAGGGTCGCCCCGTTGGTCTGAGGATTCAGTAGAATATCTGACTTTGGGTTTTTATTATTAAGACCAGTTAGAATCCATGCTACAAGTTACTGACTTGGCCTCCTGACCCCAGGTTAATTTTCTTTAATCAAACAAGTGTAACACACCTGTGCATCATTAAACAAATATTCCACAGCATAAACAAAGGTAACACATCCTTTTTTTAAAAAAGATTTGTTAGGTATAGTGTTCTGCCTGCATGTGTGCCTACCCACCAGAAGGGGGCACCAGATCTCATTGTAAATGATTGTGAGCCCACCCAGTAGTTGCTGAGAATTGAACTCAGGACTTCTGGAGCCAGCAGTCAGTGCTCTTAACCTCCGAGCCATCTCTCCAGCCTATGTAACCCCTCTTAAATTAATATTCCACAACACCTCACCAGACACCACTATTAGGGAATATTATTGTAAGGTGTGTGGCTTGTGTTCGTGCTACATTTAACTCTGTGGAGCTGTGCTACTGTGCCTGTCTAAAACAGCTGATGGTCTAATAAGGAGATGAACAGCCAAATAGCAAGGCAGGAGCAAGGATAGACAGGGCTGGCAGGCCGAGGAATAAATAGAAGGAGAGCCGAGAACAAGGAGAGGAGGACATCAGAATCAGCTATCCAGCTACACACCAAGCCATAGAGAAAGAAGTAAACAAAGAGCTATAGATATGGAGAAAGACAAATGTCCAGAGGCAAAAAGTAGACAGAATAATTTAAGAAAAGCTGTCAAGAAACAAGCCGAGCTAAGGTCGTGTACCGCCTATGCTATGGGACAGTATGTGAGCCGGGAACTGGGCTGGAGACTTAAAAACACACGCACACAGACAGACAGAAACGCGGGGGCATGGGTCATCCTTGAAACAAGAATGCCAACGTTATTGTGCTCCAGGGAAGCTTCTATAGGGATCCTTAACTGATAGCCATGCCCCAGCACTTGGGATTTCCAGCTGTAAAACCCACCAGGAACCACTCCCCTGCCATCAGGAACTCATGAGGGTCTCTTGCTCAGGGCAGCTGCAGGCACAGGTAAATAAGTTGTTTTGCTCAGTTCACTCCAGCAGGCAAAGGGTCTGAGGCAGGCAGAGAAAGTCAAGGGGTCAGGAGTCTGCAGCCCCAAACAAGGTCGGACATTCATAACTAAGAATAAGCCTCTATGTGTGATTTATTTGGGAGCTGAGTGGTGAGCCCCTCAAAAAGCCAAAAGAGGAAAACATCACACTACACACCAGCCCTGCTTGTACTTGATCTTAGGCTTCCAAGCTTCAGCACTGTGAGACTCCAAGTGTTTGCGGTTTGTGACAGCCAGTGCACAACACTCTGTTCTGACAGTGGATGAATAAGAAGGCCCACCGCTGGCTTAGAGAGCGGAATGCTTAGTCATCAGACAGAGGCGCTATTTGAGAAAGATTAGAAAGTGTGGCCTCGTTTGAGGAAGTGTGTCACTGAGGGTGGGCTTTGAGGTTAAAAAAGGCCACCCCATCTGGGCAGTGGTAGCCCATGCCTTTAATCCCAGACAGAGGTAGGAGGATCTCTGTGAGTTCCAAGCCAGCCTGGTCTACAGAGTGATGTCCAGGACAGCCAGAGCTACACAGAGAAACCCTGTCTTGAAAAAACTAAAAATAAATAAATGGAACCCATACCAGGCTGAGCTTCTCTCTGCCTATGGACCAGAATGTAGCTCTCGGCTACTTCTCCAGCACCGTGCCTGCCACCATGTTTCCTGCCCGGATAACAATGGGCTAAACCTCTGGAAGTGTAAGCAAACCCTCAGTTAAATGCTCTCTGTTGTTGCCTTGGTCGTGGACTCTCTTCACAGTAGACCAATAAACCAGTGACCACGACGATCTGTCTGCCACGCAGCTTCCTCTTCTCCCTCTCCCTGTCTAAGGCGGCCTCGCCAACGCGTCCACAGCGCCCTTTCCATCTGCTGTTTCCATGCACAGCGCTGGCTTTGCTTTATTTTGTCCCAGCCTGGCATCGAACTTGCAGTGGTCCTTCTACCTCTGCCTCTCAGGTTCTGGGATCACTGGTGCACCCCAACACTGTACAGAGTGGAAGGAGCCTTGCATTAATGTGAACAGAGTGGATGAACTCCTGAGTGAACGTGTATTGTTGATATGGGCACAACCATGTCAAGAGCCCAGTGCCTCTGACCTATGGGAATGGCATCACCCCAGCTCTGGGCGGTGGAGACAGGTGGATGCTGAGAGCTTGCTAGCCAGCTGTGGGGCAAAGCCTTTGTGTGCACACATGTGCATACACATTTGCACACTCATGTATGTGGTAGTTTGAAAGAAAATGGCCCCCAAAGAG